TCAAATCATCAGCACTAGCGGCAGCACGTATGTGCATAGTAATATATCAAGTGACAATTGATCAGATTGATAGCTGTATAAATAAGTATGCATACAGGGTAGGTCATCTTTAGTATAGGTATAAAAAAATTAATAAATTTTAAAAGAAAAAAAATTTTGAAAAAAATCTAGAACTTCTTTGAATTATCTATTGAATAAAACATCCGACTATTTATGCACACAAAAATTAATTCTTGCTGCTTTTTCTAAAGCTTTTTCGAGCATCTCGGGAGATATAGCAATGATTTGGGCACAAAAATTTGTCTTATGCACATCAATAGTCCGAGGATTGCATATTTCTTTTTAAACAACTACACAAAAGGCAGTCAAGCGGTATCAAGCCTGGAGACCTTGGTAGATAGGCAATTAATGCAAACACCGAATAGATTTGTTGAAACCAGTAACCATCCATAAATACTGATTTTCATCAACTGTTTCCTTGTATTTGAAAAAATATATCACAATTTTTGGAGAAAATGCTACTTTTTGGTCGTGCAAAGTCATTTTCTGCATAACCACATACGTAGATTTCCAAAATATATCTAACTAACACAACCGGTTAGTACTCGTAAATGTCAAATTTAATTACTGTTTATCAATCGACATAAGGCACACCCTGTATATGTAACATTTAACAAATAGCCAAGTCATTCAATTGAATAGTTCTCGTTAAAGCATTTATTAGAGGATTTAATTGTCAGCCTTGACTTATTGTCGTTCAACATTTGAATGAAAAAAAAATCGACTCATTTAAGCGCTATGTTGTTGATTAATGTGTGGCAACTTTATGCAAATAATGGTTGTAATTTCAAAATTTATTCAATTATCTCGTAGTAATCACATGAAACGAAATAATTAGATCAGATATGTATCCGATAGATGGCGCTGAAGCCGAAATATCTTTCAGAACAGAATTATGGAAAGTTCTCACTACAGCAAATTCATAATCTAGAGTGTCTTTCGCTCTTTAACAAAAAAACAATCAATCAAAGAAGTAAATACATTTTGAGATTTTGTAAAAAACAATAATTTTCCACATTTTTCCTACCTCATAAAATTACTAGCACTAGTTTATTGATTTCTGTAAAAAAAATATTGTGATAAATTATTCAAATTAAGAAAATTTCCATATAGAATAATAAACCCAATGTAATAAAAATTAAATATGTAGACACTTTTCAGAAGTAATAAATTTGCATACGCATAGCTATAACTCAACATCTACTATACATACGAATGTAGATATACAAACATACATATAGCAACAGCGAGTACAAATAGGCAAATATTCTGAGTCAATGTTCAACCTTCGTCGACTCCAGAAAAATGTAAATTCTTGGCCTTTGTTACAGCAATGCTGTCAAGTATTGGGTTCATATTTAACAACATTTGTAGATATGTATGTGAGTAAACCATTATTCAAACAAATTTTCTAGAATAGTTTTTTCAAAGCGACGCTTTTCATTAAATTGCTTGAGCTGCGTGGCACACTTTGTAACGCCTCAGAGATTCGGTTGGAGTTCATGGTTTGTAGAAGCATTTTTCTTAACTTCAACTAGCGAAAAAACCAATAGCGATATGTAACATTAATTCAGTAATTCAGAAAATGTTCTATATGTATATTCACAAATCTGCTGTGGAATATTCCATTGTAACAGTTGGCAGAACTTTTTAATGGTAACAAGAAGAGTAAAAAGATGAGCGAATGGAAAAAAGTACTATTAATTATAATTAAATTTAAATAACTTGTATTATATAGAATATTTGAAAGAAAAAGTTTTAAAAACACCAGACACCCTTTAGGTGAAGAGCATATGTTATCTTTTGCATGAGTATAACTGTATTTTCAACTTAGTCAGCCATCCAACCAAATTTTTGCAGACAAGAGAGATCGGCAGGACAAGATGACCCTACCTAAGCCGCCAAAAACCGTTTCTTGCGCTCCAGTAAGAGACAACTAAAAGCCGTTTAAAAGTTTGCTTGAGTCTCTTTTGCTACACCAACTCTGTATCTTTTAGATTGAAATATTGAGAGACCTGGAAAATATCTGCCCATTCCATTATACAAACTATTTCAAAATGAGCTATGTAGGTGTGACAACGCCTAGCATAACACCAAGTTAACTTTAACTAAAGTAGTATTAATTTTTTTATTTGTTCACTGGTCCTTTATGGAGGACATTCTAAGTCTTTAAGGTTTACGCTAGCATTTATTGCTGTCAGCAACATACGAGAGAGGCGAAAAGCCTTGGGCAGCTTACGATGGACGGAACCACCTGAACGGGCCAACTCGATGTATTATTTATTGTCTTCTATAATTACATATATTGTACATGTGTTACTACGAGTCATGCAAAATCCCCAAATTCCTCACGAAAAGTCCTCTTACCTCTTTGCATATTTTTACGTGATTAGACTTCGTATTGATGTACTGGATCCTCGGTATTGGCGCTTGACTAAGTATCTAATAGGAATTTAATGAACCATTCTAGATCTGAAAAACTAGTTGTTGTGTTGGAAACCACATTATACTATATAGGAATGCCACAGTAAACCGCACGGGGGACCTATTGCACTCTGTTTTCTACGTAACACTTGAAATGGCGGACTCATACCCCACTTGAATATTAATTGCTTACAAAAATTAATTAATTGCACTACTCACATTATATAACACCGGCAATTGTATGCATAATGCCAACATTTACCAAATATCACCCACAACTTTTTATCTACACCAAATATGACTTTTCATTTTTCTTCGGAGCACAGCAAGAAGTTACCTAAGCCATTAAATAATAATAATCATTACAGAAACCATAAAATGAAAACCAAAAACAAAAATTAAATTAATGCATTTTTTCATTTTCTTTGGCGGTATTTACATAAATTACGTCAGTTTGGTCAAAAAGCGTGAAAATTTGTGCGAAGCTTAAAATCAAAAGTAAATAAAAGTTGCCGCTAGTGGAGACGCTCAGGCAATTATAAGACTTTAAGTGAGTGCAGCAATCTGCAGTTTACTTTACAGGCACATATGGTACTGCCTAACACTTTCTCCACTTCCTAGGGCTAATAAACAGTTGTGCAGCTGTTGCTAAAAATACATATAACAGATGCTTCATAATGGAGTAAAAGATCGCGATTAAACAAAAGTCATTAAAATAGTGGTTTCTTGTTTTGATAGCTTGGAGACTGTTTCATAGATTTACAGTTATCTTAGAAGTTTATTTCTATAAAGTAAAACATATATGCATATTTTAAAGTTATAGATAATCTCATCTGTTATAAAGAAATATTAAACAACCGAAATTTCCGTTTTGAAAGCTTACAAAAAATAACTGTTTCAAAAAAACTCTCTTTCGACGAAAAAATCCAATACTATACCAGACTCAATGGTTTTTAATATATAGTGTAGAAATATGAAAATCGCAACTACCGATAAGATGACTCTATAAATGCTATATGCTGTAGATTAGCCTAAAGGTTTTCTGTGACTTTCAAATCCTTCGGGGTTGTATTGTTTAAGGATGGTTCACTTTTTCAAAGCAGATAGCTGGAAGATAAAATTGATTTACTACGTACAAGTATGGATCTAGCTAGCTTTTTTACAATCGAATGTAGTTCGAGGATTTTGTTCTGTTACTTTTATTAAATGATAATGAATTTCATAAGAAGCTCTTGCCATAGAAGAAAGGTATTCGAAAGCTTGCATTGCCCGTCTAAAACTTACCTCTAATTCTAAAAATACATATTATTTGGAAAATTCTGGCGCTCAACTGTATGTAACCAACGCCTACGGAGAATAACAAAGAAGAAACTCGTACTAACGCAGATAAAGCGCGGAAAATGCCCATACTCTGAGAATGAGTCCAGGCAATATTCGCTTAACTGGAACATGAGAATTTCGCTCCACAAGGAAGTAGAAGTCAAGGCCGATCGCCACTAACCTGAAAAATATCGATACTTTGCGAACTAACCGATGTTTGGGAAGACAAAAAGACCACAGTCCTCATATGTGTCAGATGGTGAAAACTTATCGAGGCCCTATGCTCCCGTAAATCGTCAATTGGCTTTCTATACAATGTAAGTCCTAAAAGGCATATTAAGATTGCCACGTAGTTTGTAACAATCATAAGGAAACGTCGTAGACCCTATAAAATATATACATAAATGATCAGCATGATGTGCTGAGTTGACTTAGCCATGTCCTTCTGTCTGTCCGAACTAGTCCCTCAATTTGTAAGCTATCGTTCTGAAATTTTGCACTTGTCCTTTCCTTACCAAGAAGCTGCCGGAACGGCCGATATCGGACCACTATACCATATAACTGTCACACAAACGGAACGACCGCAATCAAGTGCTTGTATGCGAAACTTTTTTTATTGACGAAATATCTTTACGAAATTTGGCATATAGTATTATAATTTGAAGATATAATTCAATTTCCGAAGAAATTGTATAGATCGGATGTCTATAGCATATAGCTGCCGTATTAATTGAACGATCGGAATAAAGTGCTTGCATGGAGAGCGTTTTCATTTAACGTGACATCTTCACAAGATTTGCCATAAGTTATTTCCTAAGGCAACAATGTAATCTCCGTAGAATCAAGTGCTTGTAAGAAACATTATGTATTTGTGAAGGGTATTATAGCTTCGGTGCAACCGAAGTTAACGTTTTTTCTTGTTTTTAAAAATTTTTATTTTTCAATTCTCCGAAAAAAAATTATAATTTATTAATAATAAAATGATTGCGTAGTCGCCTGATTTAAGTACGATTATCTTGCGATGACCGAAGCCACGTCTTATTTTTTCATTATTCTGCATACTGACCTCAACATTGCAAGTTTTGTTTAGTCTTGCTTGCTTTTAGTTATTGTTTGCATGCATTTCAAAGTCAAAAAAAAAATGCTGACCCACAAGGTATTTTAGATGCAAATCAGGAAACGGAGGGAGAACTTACCTCGACACCATTCAGATGAACGCTGTGCTTCCGCGTGATATCGATGCGCAGACGGCGACCGCCAACAGCGCGAGCGTTACCATTCGCATTTTGGTTGCTGTTGGTGTTGCTGGCGTTGTGGGTACTGTTGCTGCTACTTCTCCTGTCATCTGCCATTCCGCTATTGGGAAAACGGGCGGCGGAGGCGACATGACTGTGACTCGCTGTGCTTTTGTTGAACCAACCGCGATTGCTCACAACAGATTTGTTAGTGTTGCTGCTACTATTGTTGCTACTAATACTGCTACTTGCATTGTTGTTGTTGTTGTCGTGCACCGCGCACTCAAAATGCAAACAATTCCAAATTAAAGTAGCAATTAAAATGAAAACGAAGCCACTAGGTGAGCACATCATCAAGCGTTGGCGTTTAAAAGAGTCTTCAGCAACAACAAATATCACAAAATACGAAACAAAAAACTTAAACTGTTATAAAAATCGTTGAAAATAGAAAACGCGAAGCGCGGAAAAACGAAAGCAAAACAATCACAGCCATATGCAGTGAAGAGTGCGGAGGCAGTAAGAACGCGTGCGCTTAGCGTGACGTCGTGTTTCGGTGGTGAGCTGGGCATAAATGGGGGCAGCTCAACCAGCAGCAACAACAACAGCTGATGCCACAGCTAATCCGTAAGCATTGCAGCTGTTTCTTAGCCGTTGAAACACGGTGTTCAAGCCAAGTTGGTGGGCCAACACTTCGGCAAGCGAACGTGAGGCTCCCGCTGTGTAACTAAGCCAAGCTTAATGCTTTTGGTCTGTCTGTCTGTCGTAGGGCTGGCAGGCGTGCGCACACAACAGCTGCGCGAGCGTTATTTTTGTTGTTATTGTTATTTGTGTTGTTGTAGCTTCTTATGCGATTTTCCAGCAGTCAGCCGCAAGTTTTTTGTCAGATCGGGATTTTTGCCTTATTGTGCTTTTGTTGCTGTTGTAATTTTTGTTTATTTATATGGTTTTTTGCTTCGTAAAATGTGGGCTGATTTTTGCTTTGATTTAAATTGCCTCAAAACAATGTTCAGCGTGTTGTTTAATTGTTGCTTTTTTACTCGCCGATGATGTTAATTTGCGTTTTCTTCACCATTGTTGCTGTTGTTGTTATTCTTACTACAATTGACCGCTTTTTTGCACATAATAAAATTTGCTCTATGCGTTTTATTGCCGCTGCTATTGCTTTTGATGTTTTTGTTTTGTTTTTATATTTTTTGTTTTTGGAATTTTTCACTTATTTAGCTTTTTCTTATTAGTTTTATTATTATGATTGCTGGCAAGTTAATAACTGTTGCATAAATTTTGTGCCATTTGCTTAAAATAGTTGCTCCTACTGTGTCTTCTTCAACTGCAATATGCGTTTCAGTATTAAATTGGGTCGTTTCGTAAACATATTAGAAATTTTGGCTTTTTTTAGAAGTTTGGCTAGAATGAGCGAGTAAGTAATGAACCGATTTCTTAGAAATCAATTAATAATTAACAAAATTCGACCAATTCCCAATTTTTGACCGATGCCGATTAAGTGATCAGACTCTGTTAGTTGGGTCGACACTACAACAACAAATTTCTTTATACCTATGTGCCATATACACAGACCAAACTGGTTTTTGAAACAATACAGAATATGAGAAACCTTTATTGCCCAATTATTTCCATACATACCTAAAAAAACTCTAAAAAATATCTAGGAAACCAGCTAGAACTTCCAAATACAGTTAATATTTTATTGTATATACAAAAAGTGTTATGAATGCCGGATCTCTAGACCAAACTGTCGAACAACTCTTAAGCTCTGACCACAAACCACGCTACAACTATGTTTCGGTTTATAATAAAAATACCTAAATAGTTCAGAACCAACAAGCAGAGGAAGACAGAAAAGCTGACAAAAAATATTCCAAAAATTTTAGACTTAACTTTTAAAGAAAGGCTGTTTCTGACAGCACCAAATCTATGAACAATGAAAAGACTTTACAATACTATACGTAACGCTACACTGCGAAAAAGATTGTGTCCTTAGTAAAAATTAATTTCTACGTTTTTCAAAACCAGCCTCCAAAATCGAAATATTTTGCTTCGAAATTCCAAATTAAGCTTATAATATTATTTATGGTATAACATTTTTCGTACAAGTTTATAAGACAGATGTTATAAGGTTCCAAAATAGAGCTGGTATTTTTTAAAATAGAAAGTTTTAATTATTTTCGAAGATCCGATTTTGACGTTTAGTTTAGATTAAAATGTATTGTTTTCTGAAGAAAGTGAAGCTAATATTTTTGATTCGTACATAAAGGGTTAAAGAATGTCTAATGATGTGGTACAGATATCGAATTTGAGGTAAATTATCAAACATATTTGCGGCTAATTTATCCGCTATTGCCCGAGGATACTGAAACATTTTTGAATGAAGAACCTCTCAGTTTGTCTATATTGGAATTTTAAAGGGTAAAAATGTGCATTCAAAATGGGAAAAAACCTTGCCAATCCTTGATTCCAATTCAGCAATATAATGATGCCAAAGTTAAATCAATTTAAGAGCGATTTCCGCTTCTCTATGTGATAGAATTTCTTAAATATCTCAAAAGTCTCAATTTATATAAATCGAAATCTCACAGCGAAATCACAAAAAAAATTTTATACTTAATTTTATCAAAGACTCCTTAAACACATTACATGTATATTTAACCTCAAAGAAAATATATTCCTAAATTTCGAAAAATAATTGAAAATTCGAGATGGTCTAGTTTTTAATATTGCTAAATTTATGTTTGCGAAAGCAAACTCTTTCTTACGTAAATATTCTTTTAAAGACTCTTCCAGTTCCAGTATTATCTATACATAAAAAATTTATTCAACATATTTCACACATTTAAATTCCGACCCACTCTAACGTTGGTATTTTTACAGTAGTTATAAGCGCTATTAAAATTTCTTAAGCTACCTTTTGAATTATTGCAATTGTAATTCTGAGAAATATGTGTAATTTTCGAAATTCAAGCATTTTTACCATTGCAACAATAACAACAAAGCACATTTAGCCACATAAAGCCAAACTGAAGAAATCGAATTTGTCGGCAAGTATAAATTTCAACATATATTTTGCTTTTTCTTTTAATTGCAAATAAATAAGCATCTTAATTTCTTTGAAAGCGATCTCCGTTAATGAAAAATAATTTGCACATATTTATGCTTATATTAGATTTTAATTAGATTGAAAGCGAATTGCAACAGTTCAACTGTAGCTAATCATATATTCATACATGTGCGTATGTATGTATGTGCACATGCACTGAGAGAAATTTACAGCTAGTGCAGTAAATGCAACGGTTAGCAATCGCGCACACACGCATATATACAATGGGACATTTAGTATTCTTTGTTTATTTCGCCTGCTCATTGACTATATGAGCATTGTAAATATGATTGACTCAGTTATATGTGTATGTATGTGTATATGTATGTGTGTTGCTGTTGTTGGTTTCGTGTCTTTTGGTTTTCTTATTTAACGGCAATGTAAATTATTTATGCGCGTTTTATGCACTAATTAATCGTTTTGATTGCTTGTAGTTTCTGCTCTTGCTGTTGTTGTACTGTTACTTTCTTATTACACTTATGTTTGGTATATATGTATATATGTGTGTGTGTGTATGTATGTTTATGTGTACATGTCGATTTAGCTGTTTGTTTGTTGTTATTGCATATGTTTTAGCGCTGTTTACTGTGCGGTATTTGCGTTAAAGTTTTGCTAAAAGCCAGTGTATTCAATTTTCTTTTTAGCTTTTCTTGAAGTCATGTTTTGCTTGGCTCGTTTTTCATTTCTACATTTCTTTCACATGTAAATAGTTTTGTTTCAGTGCTTCATATTACAGCGGTGAGTCTTTCGCAAGTGCTTTCTGTATATTTCCAGACTAATATGTGCAAATTCAGAAGTATTTTAAATTCTTCTTGCAGTAATAAGGTTTAATTGTCCTACTGCATATATATAATATAATATGTATGGTATAGTTATAAGGTGTTTTTAGAGGTATAGAATTTTCGAAGGTTATGCGGAAATACTAAATTGCATAAGGTTTACGAACTTATAGAACCAAAAAATGTATTCTTTCATTAATTTATATATGGAATAAATGTTTTATACTGCTAGAAAAACACCCTTTATTTTTAAGTATTTATTTAGAAATTCTCAATTCGGCCTTAGAGCAGTGGTTCAACGTTTCCCTAAAAATGTTTAGAAGCAACGTCAACATAAACTGTATTTTATTAATATGCATAAGGGGAACAAAAATAAAAATATTTTGTTTCGTTGAAGGACTGAATTCGAACTCGAAGTATCCTGTAAAGCGAATTCGCTACAAAAACTTACTTTGATTTTTTCTTTTTATGAATGCTAAGCTATTGCAATACCAACCATTTTGATCCTTTGCAATGATTTTTATTTAAAAAGCTGATAGTTTTAATTTTTTTTTTTTTTTTTTAAGAAATTCGTCAAAATTTTGCGAAGATTAACTTCGACTTATCGACATAAATCTTTACAAGTCAGCAGCCGAATTGAAAGATGTAACAATAGTACTACTCTTTTACCACTGCAAACTCATCGTTGTAGAATGTTACATTTTTTGTGTTATGAGTCTCAACTATTGCTTTCCAGTATGTGTCTTATATCAAAAATTTTTAACTTAATTTATTTACTTTATCGTATTACCGATAATTTACTTCATTTTTAAAGATTTTGGTGTTGTCTCATTTACACGCATAAGCATCCACTGGTCATAAACCATGTTAGGGTCAAACCACTTTACTATTTGTATTAAAATACTTAAAAAGTTCAAAATCAACAAGGGAACAGAAAAAAGTACAATACAAAAGTATTCCACAAATTTTAAAAACGTTTTTGAACTGAACATTTAATGAAAGCATATTTCTTAGAGAAGCAAAGCTATAAGAAATAAAAAGATTCAACAAAAATCGTCCATAATATCAAAAGGTCATCATCAGACATAAATTTTCCAAATAAAAAAAAATATTTTGTTCGCTGAAAAAAGTAACGGTAATGTTTTTCGATTCTATCATAAAGAGTAGTATCTGTATAAGTACTACTAAACAAATGCAGGATCCTTATATTAAAAATGAAAAATATTAGATCTAAAATTAAATGAAATTTATATTGAGATTTAAAAAGGAAAACAATTGTACCGAACATATGAACAAGTGTTTCCTTAGCAATACTTGATTCCATAACATCAATAAATAGAAAAGAGGCTGTAGTCGAAATTATGAAGCAAATTGTGAGTACCTATATTGGAGACTTTCCTGATTGAGCTGTAAGTAGCCTATGAGCTCAAAGTACAATATAACAAATATAGTTTTTTCCTCCCAAAATTTATAGTACCAGAAATACGATTTTATAAAATTTTGGAACACCATACGACCAAAACAATTTTTCAAACTTTATTTATGGCGTTTTATAATTTTATATATAAAACTTTATGGTTATGAATTTAAATATTATATATAATTTTGTATTCCCAAAGTTTTAAATTTAATATATACCATATATATTGTATATATGCATTGCTATTTTGAAAAAATTTTATGAACAATAAATAAAACGGTATTACTTGAGGAATTTTTAGTTTTTACTTAACTAAATTCCGAAAATTTAATGAGTGCTCAAATTTTGTTTTAATTTATTGTAATAATTAAATAGTTATAATTATATTTATTTCGAGTCAAGCATTATAAAAAAAAAGTTCAAAACTTTTCGTTTGTAAAAAAATATTATTATAATTAAAAGTAACAGTTATAGTTGTCAGAGAAATAATTAAATTTTTGAATTCACCATTTATTTTGATTTTTTCTCAAAATCCAATTAAATTATATTTTATTTATAATTATTTATATTACATATTATTATTATACATATTTAATTTGCTTACGAAACAAAACTAAAAAAGCTGGATAATTCAACAACACAAACAAAAATTTTTAAAAATTGCTTCAACAACCCGCTAAGTGATAAATAATTTCAGTTTTCAAAAGTCAAAACTGCTCTCAAGACTTGTCGCCAACATAAAACTAGCAGGTAATCAATTATATGAGAGTGAGGGCAACTAATTTAAATATAATTACTTTGACGCTACCGAAAAAACTTGAAATTATGAAAAAACTACAAAAAAAAGCGCAGAAAACATAAAAAAATGTATAGATATATAATTTTAATAAATATGATTTTGTAATTTCACGCAACATATTCAATTGCAATGGTTTTGAATCACAAAACCGCACAAAAATATGTATAAAATATTGTAATGACAAAATTGTCATTTGACGACTGGAAATTCATTTTGGAAATATTCACCAATTATTTATACAGCTATAAAAAAATATAATATTTGGGTTTCGTCGCTCAACCGTAACGGTTTATTCTAACATATCTCTGCAACATTGCGAGCCAACTAAAAGCTGGTATTTTCCCAAATATAATATAATATCGATGTTTGTGTGGCAAAAGCACGCAAATCATAAACGCAACGCTGAACAAAATACTCTTATAGAAGTGCACAATAAATATTCTTTCAAAATTCTTTCCCAACAAACAATTCAAACAACACTTTTTGCATGCGCAGGCGCGCAACTTTTCACAACACAGACACACAATCCTGTACGCCGCGCACATGTGCAACACACCCTTCGCAACGCGTTCTGCAATTCAAATTCACCTTAATTCAATTAACAATATATATACACATTCTATTCGCACTGTTACAATTAAGTATTTAATATTTATGTATGCACTTATTTATCATGGATCACAATTCGTTCAGCATTCAGCGCGCGCGTCGAGTGCTTTTCCGCGTGTGCGATATGCCACTTCGGTGGCTTATTGGCGAATGAATGAAAAGCGCGAGTCACAGGTGGAAATTTGTAAAAATCCGCAGCGCCACGAAGCGACCCACAGCACAGCGTCGCAAAAAAGCAGCATTAGCACACGACCACGGCACGATCGGTGTGTGCTTCGCGAATTCTTGCTTGGCACGAGCGTGTGTATGCATGTGCTTGCATTGTGCAGCTCACCGTTAAAACGCTACTCAATCGCTATGGGGAGTAGGTGTCGGCTGCTTGTGAGTAGTGCTTATGGCGGAGTACGAGTGCAGCAGAAATGCAGATCGCCAATTGGTCTGATGAATTTGATGTTTGTCGGCTGACTGGCTTCCTTGCACTTACACTTTATGACGACACTTTTGCATTTGAATATAATTAATCGATTTAATGCGTGGGAGCTTTCTTATATAACATATCGATTCTTGGCACTAAGGCGAATATAAGGAAAAACTGAAGGGATGAGTAGTTTTAATGAAATAGTTACAATTAACCCTCGTGCCTAATTTTGCAGGTGAATCGTAAGACATAAAACGATCTGGATCAATTTTGTGAGTATTGCAAACAATAGAGAGTCTTTCTACAATCTATCAGCGCTTAGACTTTAACTCAAATGTGTTTCATTAGAAATTCTCTTAAAATATTATCATAATACTGTTATATACAAATGTCCTTTGCCTGATCTTCGTTTTTAATACAAATCTTTGATCGCTTTGATTGATTAATTCAATTTTCTATACACTGTTATTAGCTTCGGTTCACTAGCCCAATCACTAGATTGTTGTGCGCGCAGTTTAAATGGAACAGTCCGAGTCATATTTCATTAGTGACAAAAAATATTGATAACATGCAAGATAATGTAATATAGAAACGATCCGTTTAAACTACGATTGCTAATCGAAATCGTTATTGCTCAGCCATTCACTCCTTCGGAATTATATCTTCATTACATTACATGTTCCTGAAAGATGGACCTACGCTCTAGAAAGCGACCACGAATCGATTGAGAAGTAAAGAACTTTACTAATGTAATTGCTAAAGGCTGATGGGGGAAACAGCCTAGGTACAAAAACAAAAGCCATAAACTCCAAAGCAATTTGTAAGCGGTTTATTTCGAAGCATGGAGAAAAAAATCTTGAAATTCCAAACTAAAACCATAGTGCTCTTATACTTTGAACTACAAAGAAACTTGAATGAAATTGTTATCTTAATGGCATATTGTTATTAATATACATTAATATACAAGTAGTAAATGTTTATTTATTTGCATGTAAGTGCATTTGTATGTTAACATGTAAGAAAATAGCTTAAGTTGAGATAATGCTGTATAAATCCATTTCATAAAGATAAATATTGTTTACTTAACACGAAAGAGCAAGTTCACGGTATATTGCCGACAGCCATTTACCATCGCCGATTGGAATGCATACATACATGCATACATATATACATACGCACATTTGTAAATAAACATTGCACATTTTTAACTGCAACATCAATTAGCCCGTCTTGACTTATGCTTTGATAGCTTGGTGATTGTATTGCAACTGTAGCGAAGGCAGCGGCGCAGCGAAAGCGACAACCATTACCATAAAGAACCAATTAAATAAGTGAGGCACATGCTGCCTCCCATCACTCACAATCAGCGTAAATTAAAAGAATGGAAAAGTGCAAGTTCTAGTTTCGAGTTCTTTTTAACACCAATGAAAGGAAATTGCATAAAAAGGAAAGTAGTGAAATTGATTGGGGAAAAATGAGCAGCAACGGGCAGCTGTTAGTGGTTGCAATGATGGACTAACACACAGTAGATCGTGGCTTCGAAATTTGTCATCATCAATAATTTGAGAGTTCTATTGACCTCCGAATGGCTAAGTAATGTATGTCTGAAGAAGGTTTTTCCTGACAGATAATTCATTCTAAGAATACCGATTTCCAAAAATGATTTCCAGGGGTTCTCTGATATTTCTTCAGTAATTTGTTTCATTCGCCCCTCAACGCTTGAAAAATATATGGTACAGCGACGAATGTAGGAAATGCTTGTCATCAGCACATTCGGTTGCTTTTTCAAGCATACCCACTTTTTCGTTATATAGTTCAGCGATGTGTCGATGCATATTTTAGTCGGAAACAAAAAATTGATTCGTATCTTCTACGAAATTAGTGTAGTTTTTTGACTCCCCTGGCTTTTGTGTTATTACTTACATAGGTATATACTTCTTTGAGGAAAAAGATTGAGCCTCAAGCCGATGTCATCGATATCTGTCTCATTTTATTTTTATTTTTCAAGGCCTGTAGAAGTATGTGTATCAATCATTAATGAATATTGTGCACATCAATAATAATATATATTTATTGGTCATATTAAAATGCTCTCATGATTTCATTTTATAAGCGCTTATGATTATAGTAAACACGTGCGCTATTCCAATTGCTTGAATACAAGTGGCAGACAATACAACACACACACTCGGGAAAATTAAGTATTTACATGCCTCTTTAGATTACATGAGACAAACTAGAGATGTGCGAAAGTCAACAGAAGATAACACACGCTCTCCCTTTTAAGCGAGTAACAAAAGAACACTCGTTTGCGTAAAGAAATGCAAAGAAATGCTATTATTTGTTCTAGTTCAGCAAGGTTGGTTATAAAAAAGAGTCTTCAAATATAAATCTTAAATAGTAAGTTATAATTAAAAAGTAGTATTATAGTATAGTGAACAAAGGAAAATCAAAGAGATCTCAAACAACCAAAGTCTAGATCTGATATGAATAATAAGTTAGATATATCTAAATATGAACTGTTAAGGCAAGCATAGCTTATTGATGGTGCCGTTATATGATGTTTAAAAAGCAATATCGCTTTTAATTCGTCAATTCTTTTCTTATTATTTTAGAAGACGATTTTTTCAAAATAATTTGAGGGGTTTTACTGACTTGCAAGTCAGAAACAAACGCGTTTTTTAAATAAATAAATATAATTTACTTTTACAGAATGTAATGTTATTCTGTAAAATTTTAGATTCTCTTAATTCCGTAGACGATCTCCAGGAGGACCTCCAAAAAGAGGTGTTTGCTGGCGTGGAAGATTTTTCGCTCAAAATATTGCAAATATAAAAACCACAAAAAAAATGGATTATTACCATGAATCAATACAAATAATGATCGAAGAACTAGTAAAAATGTTTTGATTTTTGTGAAAAAATGTTTATTTCAGAGTAGCTTAAAAAATCGAAAATAGTGTCAAAACTCTTGTTCATTCGTGTGAAAATTTCAAGGCCATTTAGAGAAATTTTCCACATCGACTCTGAAAACTGTGTTTCGAGTAAAATGCATCTAAGGCTTCGGGAGCCATTACACTAAGTTTAATAAATCTTATAAATACGCTCATATCTCCAAAACTAGTTGCCGGATCAACTTAAATTTTTGGAGTATATTCTCAAATCTCTGATATCTCTCTTTGATATATATTCAAATTAAAAAAAATCGATTTTTTTAAATGTTTAAGTGGATATAACCGCTTGATTCAAATTAATTTAATTTATCAATTCTTTTTTTCCTTTTTTTAATTTTAATCCTCTTTTATTGCTGTATATATTTTATTTTATAATTTTTATTTTGTGCTATTTAATTTAACCTTTCTATTTTAGCTTGAAATATTTTTTTAGTTTAATTTTATTATATATTATTTATTTTTTTTATTTGTGTATTTTTTATCATTTCAGTTTTCTTTATTTAATAAACATGCTTTATTTAAGTTAAATTGATTTTAATTAAAAATAAACACATATATATATATACATATTTAAATATTTTTTATTAATTTATTTTAAAAATATTTTTTAATTTTTATATAATTTGGTCAACTATATTTATGAAAATTGTTTTATAGATGTCCAGCTATGTCTTAAAGACTCTCTTAGACACATCTCTATACTATAAATACATACATATCTACACATACTGATCTATTTCTTCGTACGTACACACGTCTATATATACCACATACACGTATACCGACATGCCTTATTTATGTAATGCAACATGTCATTCATTTATCTGTGCACCAAGTGTGAAACAAAAAAGAAACTATTGCTGGAATTGTTTTAATAATTGTGTATGCTGAGGTGCCTGTCTATATATTATATTTATGAGTGTTATATACATATGTATATATGCAAGAAATGAAAACAGTACTTAAGTGTTATGCTGTGCACTGAAGTATAGCAATTAATAAGTTACCGTTGTTGTTATACAACTACAAGCATGCCACTTGACAACTTAGAATGGCAATTTCAGACGATGTAGGTATATGATGAAAAAATTGAATAAAAACAAAAAAGTTAAGTTAAATAAAGAACTCTAACAGCAGATATTTCGCTGATAAAGACATAACAACTCAGTTGTACTTATTCGTAGAAATTTATGTTTTCCGCTCAGCGTTTTTAAGCTATAAACATCTTTTTGTTTGCTCGCGCTCGCTCGCTCGCCGGCGCCGGCATCACTGGCAGATCAATCTAATCGTTAGACCATTACGTCCACTTGTTTGTATATATACCTAAAAGCAAAAACACATATCAATCTTCTAACAGCCGAAATGGTCAAGTGATTCTAGATTCTGTGGCGATAACTAATATTGGTTGTAAAAAAGTTTTTCTTGCATATACCATACATACCATATGCATATTGGTGTGTGTGTTTGTGTAGCATCTGCAATTCTCGACGAATAACGCAGGAAATCCTTAAGCTTCTTCTATTCTTTTCACTGCTTGTTTTTCATATTCGTTCAACCTTCAAACTCACAAGCCGCAGAGACACCGCTCGCGCACTCGTTGGTACTGCATCACCGATCAGCATTTAGAACAATTGCGTTAGCAGCGATTGCCGTTATTATTGTTGGGGTATTTGTAAGAACGTTTACTTGATCAGCACCAAGATTTGACAGAAAAGATATAATACTTACATACAGTATACAAACATACATATCTACATGAATACATATATGCACTTCTGCTCGCGGCGTCAATCTGTTCTTGATTGTTAGTTTTTGCTACAGCCACTATCTGGATGGCATCTAACGTTTTCCAGCAAAAACAAAGAAAAATAATCAAACCTATATATAAGAACCACATATGCACACATACCTATTGCAATTTGGGAAGTCATTTATGCTCGTATTTATCTCGAAACACTTGACCATAACTCTCATGCACTTCAGCTGGAAACCTCGTTCGCCCTTCATTTCACACACCACACGAACTGCTAAATTTAAATTCTTTGTTTTTCATTTTCATTTTTTATTTTTTAAATTTATTTATTTTTTTCATTTATTAGCTTGTTTTCGGTTAGAATGGCTCTTTGTTTAGTGTTTTAATATGTATAATTAACATATTAAAGCGTTTACCAGTTTTTGGCACAATTTTTTTGTGTTTTTGTTAACAGAACACACCTCTTTCGTGGGTGGAACGAAATAATTAGACACTGGAACTAAATAGGTGCTAAGTTACCTCCACTTCGCAGAATTTGCTCTGAATATTAACTCTATGGAAGAATTCTCCTATGCTCTAAATGCTCACTTATGTAAAAAATAAGTAAGAAGCATCTAAGTTCGGGTATAATCAAACACTATATAATCATTATACATGTAGTGTGCGAAGTGATCGTGTTCGTTTTTGTATCAAATTAACATATTTTATGGCTCATATGCTTATTAAATTCAACACATTTCGCTTAGAATACAAAAAATCCACTTTAAGTTCAATTTCATTAACGAAGAAGTTCTAAAGTGCTTAAGGGCCACATCTAGAGTGAAATTAAAAACCAAAAATCGATTGTTTTTCATACTTAAACAGGTTATGATTTTAAAAAGAACATACTAAAATTTTCAATCGAGTTCTTTAATAGAGCTCGATTCAATCAGCTCCAACAGTTGATCTTTAAATGCGTTTTCTGGGTAGGTAGGTTATTTTAAGGACAATGTCTTTTAGTAGAGAACTTTTTTTTAGGTTTCATCTACGGAGAAGTCCAGAATCACGGCAGCAGTTGAGGACAATAATGAGTAATCATCAATTTACTTCAAGTTATTCGACTTGTGAGATAGAATATTTCAATTAAAAGTGGGCGGTGCCAGGCCCAATTATAATTTTTTTAAGTATTTAACTGTTGACTGTCATGTGGGTTTTCTATACAACGCTTACTATCAATTTTTTCCTCTTTGACGTTTTTGTTTTGAACAATACCTTTAAATGGAAGAAACGGAATCACACAATGGCACATTAGACCTTATTAAAGGGTTTTTAACTATATTTCAAATGATAGATTAATATATTAGAATATATAACATATAGAAATCCATTGCAAGCCTGGTTTGAAGAAGAAACAATTATTTATCACTTTTTATAGGAGGAGTAAGGGTAATTCTTATTAAACAAAGCCAATTTTTATGATTTTTTTTTTATGGAGCAGTTGAAATATATTTTTAAAAAGCAATGGCACATAATTGTATAATTTGAGAATATTCGGTTAAATTTTCATGGAGAAATATTATAAAATACCCAAATGACAGCAAATACTTTTGAGCGTCTCGGAAAAAAGTAGAATTGTGGTGTCCCGCCTGATTTTAAACACTTAACTAAAGGTTAATATGTGTACTTATTACGATTCTTTTTAAAATCTAAGAAAAGAGAAAAAATGTAGAGAATAAATATATATTTACATTTTAAAATTAACGAATTTAATAAATATAAAATTATTTTAAATTAACGGACACAGGTGAACTAATTGAGACATTTTTGCGCTTAAAAGCCACTTTGTTGTAGCCAATCAGGGCTGCATTTTTTTAAGTCATAAAGACCGATACGTTTGCCTGACACTTGTAATAAAAAGATTGGAAATTCCGATATCAATATAATAGATATAAATTAAATTAAATTTTCCATTTCTTACTCATAATATACTGTAAAACATTATCACTTTTTGCTTACCTTTACAAGCAAACCTGAAAAGAAACACAAGGCAACTCTGATTGGTATAAATTTGGTGTTGCAGCATATTCAATGGATATTCCTTAAAAATAATCAAACGAATTGGTAAAACAAACGTGTGGTCTTCGAGGCCTTTAATAAACTTTTAAAAGTAATACAAAAATTTTTAACAAGCAAAAAGTCGTTTAGAATAAGGGAAAGTGCAATTAGTGATTTTATTTTATTAAAAAATACAATCAATTTGGTGTGGCATATTGGGGCGCTAAAGTGAATTTGCGTCACAAGAAACTCGTGTGATAAACAGCAAAAAAAAACAATAAGTTAATAACGCACAAAAAATATTTTTGTAAAATAGTGTGGTTGTCCGGAATTTCCTTTTGTCAAAATATATTCTAAACTCGTAATAAAACAAGTGTCTAACCCCTCCCATTCAAACGATAACATTCCAATTTGTTTAGGAGAGGGGTGTCGCAGGCAAAGCGATAGCAAACTAGTCGTGTTGGTGAGTCATCCAAGATAAAATCGCAGCGCATACCGCTCAAACAAAAGCAAACCACAAACACAGTAGCGACGAGTGACAGCAGCAACAGTTCCAAGGCCTCGTACATATTTCGTGTTGACAATAAGCAAAACAGCTGAAGATACTATAGCCGCGCACTTACATACAATACAAATTACTAGAGTGACGTCATCACTTTGCGTGCAGCCCACATTCACACACAACATAAGGATTTTACTATGAAAACCACTATCAGTGCAACAACAACTACCAACACAGCTGTGACGGGTAACAGCACCGCAACGTCGGTTAATATCTTGCCCAAAACGGAACTAAACGATATCAATTTAACTTTTCAAACACCAAACGCCGCTGCACCTAGTAGCAATAACACCAGTGTGAATACGAATAAGCGGCCTATTTCCTTAGATTTGAATAAAATGGCGGCAAAGAAACAACGTTTGGTCACACCGCTTAGTATTGATTCGCCCAATTTGGATAACATGAAAACCATAAATACGCCTGACATTGAGAAAATGTTACTAAGCAACGTAATGCCGACACCACAGCCTGGTGTGATCTTCCCCAGCAAAACCAGTACGGTAAGTAATAAACAAACAGAGCCGTAGAGAGAAAATCCGGACTCGTAAATAATTGTAGTGAACTGTTGAAGAAAAAATTTTAAAAAAATTATTGTAATGCACCGAGCCTCTTCGGCCCGGGAGAAATTGTCCCCGTTCTCCCCCTTATCTTCACCGCAAACAACTATTGCAATTTCATGTGTATACAGCAAAGTAATTAACAATTTGTGTTACTATTGCAGGTTACTTCCGAGCAGGAAGCATATGTGAAGGGTTTCGAAGAGGCGTTGAGTAATTTGCATCAAAGCAAGAAGTCACAGGCCGCCCAGATAACGACTAGCAGTAGCAGTAATGTGGTGACGGCCGCGCCGACAACAACCGCAAGCGTGGTGGGCACGGGCGTTAGTGGCGGCTCCTTTACCTACACTAATCTAGGTAAGTAAATATATTATCCCCACTATAACAATGTCTACAACTTGTCCTTATATTTGTCAACAGAAAACTTCCCCGTTGCTATTAAAGATGAGCCACAAAACCCCGGTTCGCCAGCGGCGCTCAGTCCCATCGATATGGAAACACAAGAGAAAATCAAGTTAGAGCGCAAACGACAGCGCAACCGTGTGGCCGCATCCAAGTGCCGCAAACGCAAGCTAGAACGCATTTCCAAGCTAGAGGATAAAGTTAAAATGCTCAAGGGTGAGAACTTTGACTTGGGCGCAGTGGTTAAAACATTGAAGGATCATGTTGCGCAACTAAAAGAGCAAGTGATGGATCACTTTAACTCCGGTTGCACAATCTCCATGTTAACGGAGCAGCAAATGTTGGCAAGCAAATAACATGAGGACACCATTGTAGGCGCGCGGAAGTTAGAACATAGACAAAAACCGGAAACGCAACTGCATAAATTCGAGTTAAAATCAGGGAATGGTGGTCTTATCTTGGAGCGTGATAACCGTACGAAAATATTGGATTTGAAAATAAAAAATGCTGACAAACAACAACAAAAACATTACAATCAATTGAAATTGGCTCGTAACACGTTGCAACACCAGCAAGACGAAACTGAGGCAAATACAGATTTATCGGATTTACAACTCAATAATAGCATAATCAATGTGATTGAACAGCACATGCCCATTGAGTTATTTATGGAGACGCCACCGTTGACCGGTGATTGCTCATCGACGCATTCAACCAACTCGATGTGCTCCACTGGTGGCATTAGTGGTGATGCTGAGCTACCGAACAACAATCAACAAACAACGACCAATGCCGCTGAGCTCGCGCTGGATGCGAGCGCAACAACACAAACTATGACAACGGACATGAATGACGATTTCAACGCCAATATGGAAAATGACGGCGAACGGCCACTTGTTCTTGTTATTATCACGGATTATGATATGCAACAATAAGCAATAAATACAGCTAACGAAATGTGTGCTTTTGAAACCAGTAAATAATCTAGCTTATGTATTAATGCTTTTAGCAGCGAAGTGCCTTTATCAAAAAGCCATAACAATTGCCTCAGCAAACGGAAAGATTTAAATTTATAGACGTGATTTTGTATTTTGTAGACGTTTTCCGCTAAAAATTGCCTTATAAAATTCTAATTTGCCCTGCTTTCAATAACTACTTGTAGATGTAAGATAAGGAATATTTTGATAATTTGCATGTTTATAAGACATAACTATATTTTTTTGCTTTACAATAATTTATGTGCTAGCTTTACTAATGGTAAATTAAAATTTATACAAAACTTCTAGTTATAAGGTTTCCCCCAAAAATTTATATTAACAAAAATTATATTTATATGTATATTTGCAAAATAAATTCATGAAAGAATTATACAAAAATGATGACTGTTATTAATTTTAAATGGAGGAATTTTTTATCTAATTATTCATAAAATTGTCCTCCAAAGCTGTCTAAACAAATGAGAACTAAGAAATATTTAAAAACTAAACAAGCAAAAACATTTACTCGGTATCCTTCACAAATAATAAAAATTTGCATGCAAGAACTTGATTTTGATCGTGCAGTTTATATGGCAGCTATATGCTATAGGATTCAATATCGGCGATTCCGACAAATGAGCAGCTTTTTAGGGAATAAGAAAATAATAATAAAAGGGGAATCTATCGATAATTGTTAATCGATATATATCGATTTTAATTTTAATCGACAAATTGGCGATTCTAACCTAACTTTGCGTAACGCATTAATTTAGTCCTAAAATTTTTAATTAAAATAGCATGTTTTATTAAACGATTTCCGACAAATTTTAATTATACTACGCAATGCAATGAAATAAATATGAATATACCATATATTAGGGCAGTTTATTATTATTTTTCAAAAATATGTTTACAATTTTCGTTCGTATTTTAAGAAGTTTGCTGTTGTTTTCCTTTATTTCTCATATGTGTTTTTTTTTTATTTTAAATATTTGCTTAGGAGCTTGTTTTAATAGTAAGTTTGTTGCATATTCTTGAGATGTTATACAACTTATTTTAAATTATTTTTGTTTTTCGAAAATTATATGGTTTTCAAAAACCTATTTGTTTATGTCAAAAATTATTATTCTTTTCAAAAAATTATTTTTTTTTTCAAAAAATTATTTTTTCAAAAATTTATTTATTAATTTATTTATTTTTTTTTTAATTATAGTTTGTTCTTCACAAAATTTTTATTTCTTTCAAAAACTGTTTTTTTTTATATATATACTTTTATTGCATTTTTGTCTTTTTTTTTTATTAACAGCATAATCCATATATTTATTTGTTGCATGTGTGCACAATTTTTAAACACATAACACATTTAAATATTAATTTTGTCCATTAATATAAGCATACAAACATTTTTTATTTATTTTATTTAGCTTTTTGTTAAGGTTAGGTAAATTTGGAAAAAAAAAATATTAAGAAACATAAAAATGCATTTAATAATTTATTGAAAAAATGAAAGCATTGTTTTTATTTAATGTAGGGGAAAACAACTAAATTTTATACAATGAATACTTAATACTAAAGAAAAAACACCACAGGACAACCCATAATAAGGTTAGCGCGGAAGCAACGGTATTTTGGTGAAAAAATTTGTAAGCGTAAACCTTTTTCATAAAAATTCTCAGTTTCAAAAATGAGTTTAATAAATAATTAGCGGCAAAATTTAAACGTTTTTCACTTTCCAATTCATATAATACCATTTAGCCTGCTTTCCTTCATAATAACGCCGCGCAATTTATTATGAATTGTCCATGCAGCTGTAGAAGAAATAAATAATATGTATTATGCAGTAGAAATACAACTAAGTACACGCCTCCAAGTCGTCAGTTTCAAGTGCGTGGCGCAACAAATTTGAGTTCGCCTCATTAAAATTGGCAACCATGAAGGCTACAAGAAGCGACCGTATATACTTAGCGTGTGTTATATGATCCGCCAGTGTCATTTAATTTATAAATAACCTATAGCGCATTAATTTACATTTAAATCAACTTGTTACAAATACGCTATTGTCCATTTTTCATGTGATATTTTATGTAAGTATAATAATAGATAATAAGTGTGTGTGTTGTTACGCCTATAAGCAGTTTATAAATTAAATTTACGACTAAAGTGTAGCAGCGCTTTATTTATTTCTTAAATAACTAAATATTTTTATAGTTTTGTTCATTATTACGACGAGTTCCATCATCCAAGAAAATATTTTTTTTTATTTAAATAGATATTAGATAATGCGTGTGCAATTTGTTATAATTGAATTTTAATTTATTATATAACTATATTCAAACAGTTTTTTTTTTGATTAATTATATTTTTAGAATCAACACAAGCAGCAAATGTACGAATTTTGTCTGTGCAAAGGTAAGTTGCTGTTGCATTGATTGTAATTAATTTGTTTTCTTGTGTTTCTGTTTTTTTTGTTGCTGCCAAATATGTTTTACATTTGTAATAATTTATATTTCTTCTAAAAATAAATTAAAAATTTCAAATTACCAGCACTTGTCACATGCATATGTACATACATACATACATACATATAGTATGTGTATGTGTACGATGTGCGATATCCATCAACTGTTGCGCAATCGGCCGCAACAACACCCCAATTAATTTCAAATTTTTATATTTATTTTTAATACACAATCAAAATACGACCACATGTTACAATTTTTTTCTTTTGTTTCTTTTTTCTTTTTTTTTTTTGCTTTTTGCAATTTGTTTTATTCTTTTTAAGCACTCCGCTTTCTACATTTATTACATATAGGTATAATTAATAATTATGCATTTAGTTTTGCCTTTTCGCTTTTCTCCAGCATTCTTGCGTGCAAATATGTTTGCCGAATCTCAAAATCGCATGCAAAAATGTGGTTTGTTATTAATCTCAAAGCAATCAGCACTCGTTCTCTACAACATTAGTGGTTCAGCAATCAAATTTAAGCCGCGCGTTTGCTCGCATCAATAGGAATATCTTGCAGTACCACAAAATTTTCAAGTATGCCGCACGCAAACACGCGATTTTGCCTATTCTAAACACGACATTTGTTTTTAGTGAGACAAAAATGCTGTAGCTCGTTTGTAATTTGCGAAAAAGTTTATTTTTTTTTTCAATGACTTGCCTTTAAATTTTAAACTTTAATTTATATACAATCGAAGTGTTTTTGCTGGCATTTATTCAATGCTTTAGTGCAACAAATTTTATAATTTCCATATAAAGCTTAATAAATAAATATTTTTGCAATTGTTTTTAATTGAACACAAATAATATAAGCTAAGAATTTCATAGCTTTTACAAAATATCATAAAATAAACAAATTCTAATAATTCTCGCTATGTAGCAAAAAAGTAATAGTAAATTGGTAAGCAGCAGACCACCTTTACCAGAAGGTGCGCTGGAAAGCATTGCGAACGAGAATTTCACATAAATAGCAGTTCAAAGACTTCACACTTAGCAATAAGTATAAAGCCGAACTGTAACTTTGCCGCCTTTTGTCTAATTTTTTTTATTTTTATATGAAAACACAATGTGTTCGCCTACTAAGCGTCTAACAAATTTGACTAAGCATAAAGTTAACAAAAATTATGGTAAAGTAAATAAATTAAACAAATGCAGCTCAATGTCAATATACATTTGAGAGTCTATATGTTAACAAAATAGGAAATATATATATATATATATATGTATGTATGTATATGTAGCAGCATTGTTCATATAATATTTTGTGTTTGTATAATTTGTTAAGACTTTTTTTGTTGCACATATTATTCAACTTTTGAATTTTTTCTAATATAATGACTTTGTAAAGTATACATTGTTACTCTGCGTAACATTTCAAACTTTTTGTTGTAACTAATTTATTATGCAATACTTGTTTTATTTTTTTAATACCAAAAAATATAGATATACGCTTTTGTTGTCCGTTTAACGACTCTCCATATCTTATATAGATTTTGTGGCGCCAAATTCAATTTGAATTTCATTTCCTCTGCAAAATTAATATAATATTTTTCCATATTACAATTTAAGTAATTTTTGCTTAATTCGCCGCATTATTCAAGCCTAATTTACTAAGAAGTTTTAATGCATTTTTAGCCGCATCATTTTGAGATTCCTCTGCGCTTGTGCCCATACCATGACAGATTTGCGGTGGATTGGAGGAAAGCGTTACGATCGTTAGGAATTCGCTGTGATTTCCCTTTGGAAAATCGGAAAAGTTCACCTATACGATTTGGATTTTTAAAAAAATAAAGAAAAAAAAATAAATTTATTAATAAATAATAATATTAGTAACAAGAAAAAAGTGATTTTCGAATGCGCCGAACAGGGTATAAATATAAAATGCAGCACTCACCTCAAAACCCAGCAATTTTGCCAGATACAACAATTGATCTTTAGTGTGCACGCCTGCCGGTTTCGACTTGGGCGCGCTGCAGGCACTGCTGTTGACGCTGCTAGCGACATTAGCCGAATCGACCACAGCCGGAGCGGAAGTAGCTTCAGCAATGGGTTTAGTGTTTTCAGCGGCTGCTGCTTGATTGTCACAGCTGCCTGCATTGTTTGGTACCGCCGCAGGTGCCGTTTGCGTATTCGATGGTATGGCGACAATTGCTGATTCCTCTTGCTTGTTTTCAATTTCCTCAACCACCGCTAGACGTGTTGTAGTACTTAGCATGCTTTCTTTTTTCTTTGTTGCATCTGCAAAAAGGTTATTCCCACATTGAGTTCATAAACGTAAACATACAAAATATATTTTCACTCACGTTTCTTGTTATGACGCAGTATTAGAATGCCTGGCACTTGCCCAGCAGTGGTGGATACAAGTGGCACATCAAGCAGAGCTTCAGCTGCAACTGCTGGCGCTGCGATGATTGCTGGCGCTGCAGCTGCTTCAACAATTGGCTGCAATACTGTAGTGGTTTGCTCTTTACTGGCCGATACGCTTGTTGTTACTGCTGATTCCGCACAAACGGCAGACTGTGTGTAAGCTAGCGCTGCGGTGGACTTCAGTTCAGCGGCCGCGTTGTCTTTTTCGCCCATGGCCAAAAGTAAATCTGTAAAATGTTAATGTTATTTATACATTGCTAAGTGAAGGTAACGAAACTGAACGTACTTTGGGCGGCATTGCGCTTGGCCAGCTTCTTGCTGTTGCCAGTGCCACGTGCGACCATGCTGTGCGCCGTCACTTCGATAATGAATTCGCGTCTACGCGAGTTTTCATTGCCGTTTTTCGCTATCAACTCGAAAACTGGCTCTTTCTCTTTGCGATTTTGCTGCAATTGTATGAGCCGCGTGATGGGGTTCTCTCCCTCGGTATCGCCATCACTTTTCTCTTTGATCGAACTACTGCCACGTTTTCGGCGCTCACCAATGTTGCCACCCGATTTGCCGCTACCACCCGCAGCGGTGTCCACAACGGCTGCTGTTTTGCTTGGCGTTTTGACTTTGATGCGCTTTATGGGCGACTTGGTGGGCGTTAGTGGTGGTAGTTTCCTTAGCTCCTCCAGCATCTTTTCCGCAGCGCGTTTCTTCGATATCTTCTTGCCGTTACCCTCACCCTCTGTTACTATGGTGCCCACCACGCAAGCAGTAACAAATTTCTTCATGTGCGCTGGACCCTCTTCGCGGAGTACCTTGAAGTGTACCGTTAGGCTGCGTTGTATGCCGATCTCATAAACCAGCGAGATCGGTGATTTGTTATCGCTTTCCTCCAGACTGTTGTTGAGCTCTTCATTGAGCTGTGTGGCGGCCTGCGCTTTGAGCACTTCCAGGGCACGCGCCGCGGCATCGTGCTTGGCTTGCTGCAATGTACGGCCCAGCCCTACAAATTTCTGCTTACCCACGACTAGTGTCACCTTGGGCATGCCATAACGATGTGGCATGACGCCATGTTGTGGGTGTGGCAAAGGTGGCGGTGGCAGCATACCGTTATGTGGACCGCCAGCCATAAGCGGTGGCGCCATTAGTGGATAACGTTGCTGTTGATTATACTTGGGCATATATGCACGCTGTGCTGGCGCACCATAACGTGGACGCATAACCGAGCCGGCAGCGGGATGTCCGTGCATCTGCGATTGTGGTGGCGCTGCGGCATACGGACCGTTGCGACGCACATATGCCGGATCCATCATACGCACGTGCGGTGGTGGATGCTGTGGTAGCATATGACCACCGGCTATGGCGTGCGGTGGCAGCGTGTGTGGTGGCGGCGGCACATTGTAACGCGGTGCCATCATAGCATCTGGTGGTGGTCCCATTCCATCGGCCGGTGTAACTTGTCGTGGATCTAGGAGATAATAGGTCTGTTGACCCAATTTCATGGCGAGCGCATTCAACTCCACTGTGGGCGTGATGTTGGCACGCCATGAACTCCCCTCACTATCGGCGCCGCGGCGTATCACCTTCGGAACGGGGTGTTTGTATTTAGTCTTTTCAATAGCCTCAGCAGCTGCCAAATGTTGGGCTTTCTTTATTTTGAAACCCTCAGCCGAATACTCCTCCTCACCCAATTTCAGTGTGACCGTAAAGCGCTTACAATGCGCCGGTCCCTTTTCGCTGGTTAAGCGGTATTGATGTGTGATCTGTGCATGAATTAGCGAACGCTTAAGATTAAAATAACAACATTAATAAAGAAATGTATTTACTTTGTTGTAACGCGCCAATTCGTTGACCAAGCACATTGGTGTTTTCTCTTTCGAATTTTTCGCCACTGTGTTGTCTTCATTGGACAAGATGTTGTTGTTGTTTGTCGTAGTGCTGCTGCTCACTTCAATGCTTGAGTTTGCATTTTGTGTTGCACTAGACAGATTTTCCTTATTAGACTCGATGGAGGCAGCTGTCAAACGAGAAATTTCAACTAAAGCTTCACCAAACTATATAGTATAATCGATTATATCACTTACCCTCTGCTTGCTTAGTGCTTTGCACGATTTGTATACTCTCATGCCTCGCTGTGCTTTCGGCTACAGCTGTGGTCACGTTATTAGCAACAGCTTCACTCACGTGTGTATCGGTGGCGCTAACAATATTGTTGCCGCTGCTGCTGCCAATATTGCCACCAGACTTAGAGGCTTTAATAGTTTCCTCCCCGCCCGTCGAAGGTCTCACAGTACTCACTTCAATATTATTCGCTGACGCGCTTGCATGCAGCCGCGCTTTCAGCACGCGATTTGGATTCTGCAATATGATTTTTGGTGGCATGCCACTGCCAACACCGCTGCCAGCGCCACCATTGACGGCAATAACGTTATTATGGTTATTGTATTTAGATTTATGCACATTATTGTTGTTGTTTGTTTGCGTGTTACCGGCAGTGTAGTAGTTCAAAGTCGTAGGTGGTGGTGGTGGTTGCTGCAGATGTTGTGGCTGTGGCAGCGACGGTGGTGGCACATGTGTATTGATGACATTCTTTGCAATAACCAGATTTGTTGTTTGTACTGTTTGTTGTTGTTGTGTTGATTGCAACGGCTGTTGGTGCTTTACATGCCCGTGCGACTGCTGTGGTGGCATTGGCGCCACTGTATGCTTATGTTGCAGCTGTTGAGTTGCTTGTTGCTGTTGTTGTGGTTGTGGTTGTGGTTGTTGTTGATGATGCAGTTGATGCTGCTGCTGCTGTTGGTGGTGCCGCGACGTATGATGTGGCACCTGTGTGCTTTGCTTTGGTTGTTGTTGCTGTTGTTGTATTGCTGCTTGTACCGGCAAGGCATTGCCGTGCGTATTGCTGGCGTTGTTATTGTATTGCTGCTGCGCTTGATGATGATGATAGTTGTTCTTGTTTGTACTATTATTATTATTGTTGTTGTTTATATGCTGATGTTGTTGTCGCAGCTTTTGCAGCTGCGTACTGGTGTGCATAGATGAGGGATGCTGATGTTGTTGTTGCAATGGTTGCTGATTCAAACTAGAAGTAGACGAGCGATTTTTTATTGAGTGATTTCAACGAATTACTTAAGAATTAAAACAAAAAAAATCACTATTATAGCACCCATCGCATAATTAGATTTAATTTTCTCCCAATTATGTAACTTAACCAAACTTTAGGAAAATTACACAAATCGTACTGACGCGGATAGTTGGTAAATTTTGAAATACTTGGAAATCACAATTCATAAAAATGTTCATACACTAGTTGATACCACAAAGTATATATTTAATACACATGATTGCCACATTCTTCCTCAACCCCACTTTTTAACTATTTCCACTATAAAAATAACAAAAAAGGCACAAAATTACAAACCAGAACTTCAAAAATACATATAATTCATATTCCACATTTGACAGACCACAAAGCAATTCCAAACGAATAATAAAAATTTGACAATTAAACAATGCACATAGTCAAAAGTGTCGAAAAATTGCGAAATACACCAGAAACGTGGAGCGCCAATCGCGATTTTAAGATATACTGAAAATAATACAGTGAGTTAATAATACAGACTGCACCATGCGTTTGGCTGCGCCGGGCAAATGATCTCTACTGTTGGCTGCCGGCTTATCGACAGCGCATGCGCGGCCACAGAGAATACATGTGAAGGCAAAACGGTGGAAATAACTGAGAGCAATAGCCAAGCTCGCGGAAATATTTGTGCAAATAGACCCACGTAAGCGAATAGCAACGAGTAAAGGTAAAAAAAAAAATTGACCCCTCCCATTGTTATCACTGACGGCAGACAGACGTTACGATGCTCGTGGTTGTTTTCACATTTTTTATACGCTCGTTAAGGCAGTTCATGCTTTTTTCAAATACAGTATCCTTTCATAGCCAAGACATTCTGGTTTGTGTGTTTGTGTGTGTTAGGTATGGCACAGAGCACGAAAAGGATTGTGACAAACAACAAAGGCGAACGTCATCAAACACAAAACACATAAGCCTCAAAGCACAAGTACACTTTGAACCGAGTGCTGCCATAGCATTGACTCAGATTTGGATGCTTTTAATGCGAACCGACAAGGTAAGGCAATAAAGTGACGAGCGGCAACTGATGCTTCATTTTTGGCGTTGCTTGTGCTTATAAATAAATTTCAACTTTGTCGATTTGTTTCGAAATTTTTCATTTCGGCTCGAAGACGAAGTTGAGATGCATGTTCATACACACATGCATATGTACATACAGACATACTGTGCATGGTTATGCTAATGAATAATGCCACAAGTGGCGTCGAATAGTGTACTGTCGCAGTATATGTGCTGAAGCAATGAAGCAGAGAAGCAACAATATCAGCAAAACCCAAAAATTCCAAAAAAAAAAAACATTAACTACAGCTGCACCGAAGCTATAATACCCATCACACATAAAAATAATTTGATTCAGTTTGTATGGCAGTTATATGTTATAGGTCAGATCTGAACAATTTGCTCTGATATTGCACTGTTGCCTTGGCGAATAATCAGTGCCAAATTTCGATTTCGAGAACTTGATTTTTATTGCTTTTTGTAGCAAGGAAAAAAAATCTTGAAGTAATTTCGAGTAATAGTGCCGAGGTGACAGTTCTAATAATTCGGGTCCGTTCCGGTTACTTAGACGCGACTGTCGCGGGAACGGAATTTTAATTGGTCAGCTTTTATAGCAGCTATATTGGCGCTATATCGGCGGTTCCGACAAATGAGCAGCTTCTTGTTGAGAAAAGGATGGGTGCAAAATTTTAGCTCGATATCTTAAAAACTGAGGGACTAGTATGCGTATATACAGACAGACAGTTTCAGGTTGAGGGTATAAAATATTTGTGATAATAGCCAGTAAGCTTGGCACTCCTTGACACTGCCGCTGCCGCTGCACTGCCGCCACTGTTGTTGCATGCAACAAAAGCAGGCACATTTTCTAATTCGCTTAAATACTGACAACGGGCGTTTTGTTTCGATTGTTTGCCGTGGTCACCACTCCACCACTTCAATCGCCATATCCGCTATCCCCTTCTCTTATTTATAGATCACACCGTTTTTTTCGGGTTTTCAATTTTTTTCATTCACACTTTTTTTACATTCTTGTTTTGGGTGAATTTGGCAATTACGGTTTGGCTGCAGTGCTTTAAATAGGTCAACGCCATCACCATAAACAGCAACGCGTTGCGTTTCATATTCGTCATTATCGTCAGCATCAGCAGCGGCATCGGCGGAGTGGCATTGTCAACGTCATTGACGCTGCGGCATAAATACTTTCAAAAGTGACAAATTCAATTAGTGTTCAAAAGTGAGTGCGCTGAGTGTGAGGACGAGCCTAAATGTGATAATCCCTTTTTCGTTGCATTGCTGTTCTCCATTTCTAATTGCATTTGCGCATTGTTGACAAATTTTACAGTCCAAAGGAGCATTTAATAACGAGAGTATAAAAAGCTCAAAACATATCTGTATGTGATGTGTAATGGGATTATTTAGTTGTTATATACATTTCACAGACTCTTAAAACAATAGTTCTGATACTTATGGATTTGACTGTAAGAAAAATCGCGAATTTCGTTTCGAGACTTCTGGAATAACAGTTTGAGCCTTTTGGCTTAGTAAATCTAAGATGAGCATGTTGCTGTGCTAAATGTCGCTATTTTGAAACAACATAAGACGGGGTAATTGAAATCAGACAATAATTAATGTTAAAACAAGCAAAAACGTTAACTTCGGTTTCACTTAAGCTATAATACCCTTAACAGGTACATTTCTTCTACAATAAATAGGCGTAAAAAGATATTTATGTTGATTTTGCTCGGTTAGTTTGAATGGCAGCTATGTATATGCTATAGTGGTCCAAACTGAACAATTTGTTCGGAGAATGTATCATTACCTTGAGGAATAGTCCATGACAAATTTCGAAAAAATGTCTCGTCAAATAAAAAAATTGTCCACACAAGATCATGATTTTGATCGCTCAGTTTGTATGGCCGCTATATGCTATAGTGATGCAAAATCGGCGGTTTCCACAAACAAACAACTTCTTGGGGACAAAAGGACGTGTGCAAAATTTCAGATCGACATCTCAAAGTGCGCGTACATATATACATATACAGACAGACGAACAAACAGACGATTATGACTAAATCGACTCAGCTCGTAGCTTTTATTATTTATAAAATATAATACTTTAATACACCCTGTTCAGGGTATATTTAAGCGCTAAAATAAATAACCTATAATTACTTTATTGGCAAACTTGTATGCTTGAACATCTATCGACTCGTTGGATCAGTACCAACTTTAGTTCCGTCTAGGTGTAAATATGTATATAATTTATGCAGAATAATAACGAAAAAAATTTAATTTTCACACGTTACTCTCAACGGAAACAATGACGAACTTTTTTCTATTTTTTTTTTTTTTAATCAAATAGTGGCACGAAATAAATGTCTTTAAAGGCGGTGAAAAATTAAATGAATGCAAGTATGTTTGTCTGTTTGTACACATGTGTGTTTCAGGCAAATTCTTAGATGGCAAAACAGGAAAGAACATGCGCGCAGCAGAAATATTAGCTGTGACAAGAGTAAGGTAAGAGTTGTTGTTTCAAAGTACTGACAACTAACTGCAAATGCCACCACTACTTCAATGTGAAGTGGGAAAATGGTATATGTACGGTAAGTGACAGACTTATGGAAGATATATGCATAAATACACATACACCTTATACATATGTGTATAAGCACACTTCCAGGAGGCAGGGTAGAAGAGAAAGAGAACTCGTTACGCCTGAACGGAAGTCACGCTGCGAATCAAAGCAACTAAGCAGACTTGCCAACCCAACGTATGACAAGGTAGCCACATAGACAGCAAAATACACACACACACATATATATATATATATGCAAAGGTGACTACACTTGGTTGCAAAGAGCGAGAGTATAAAGCAGCATAAGACATCAAAAGGATAAAAAAGTAGAAATTATAATTTATGAGTTGAGAAAATATAAAAAAAAATAGTCGAAAGGAATCATCCCAAGCAAATGTGTGCATACACTTTCAACTGGCATACGAAGATATTTACATATAGAGCACCGTTAGAAATAATACACAGAAAAAATATCATTGAAATACTACTGAATAAGTGTTAAGATTATATCGAAAACCGATTTTTAGCCTACCGTGCTGTATGATGATCGCGTACATGTGACGCCACGGCGATGGACGAGCCGGTGATCACTGCAGCAGTACTAGCGGTTGCAGGACCATTACTGAGATGTTGTGTTTGCATTTGCTGGCTCGTCTGCTGTTGCTGTTGTCCGTTTAGTGGCGGCGCTGGCACATGTGCCAAATTCATTTGTGATATATGACGCTGTGACTGGGTATGCGGCGGTGGCACCGCCATGTGGTGGGCACGCAAATGGGGAGGTGCTGTACGTGCCACATGTGCATGATGCTGCATACTGCTGATTTGTAGATATGTGCAACTGCGTCAAGTAACACTTGTGTATTTGTAAACCACTCTCCTCTGTGAATGATTAACTAAAAATTGGAGAAAGAAATGAGGATTGCAAGTTAAAGAGGTAAATAAATAGTACGATTTGAAGTTATGAAAATTGGATTATACAACAAAAGAAAACGTTAACTTCGGTTGCACCGAAGCATACAATAATATGACAGCTATATGCTATACTAGTCCGATCTAAACAATTTCTTCGGAGATTATAACGTTGCCTCGGACATTATGTTATGCCACATTTCGTGAATATATCTCGTCAAATACAAAATTTTTCCAGAACTGGATTTTGAACGAAATACAATTATAAATTTGCAAATTTCAAATAAAAAAAAGCAGTTCCAACAAATGAACAGCTGTTGGAAAGAAAAGGACGTGTGCAAAATTTCAAATTGATATCTCATAAACTGAGGGAGAAGTTCGTGTATATACAAACAGACGTGATCATATACATCTGTATATAGATATATGTATTAGGCTGATTCAAAAAAAATATTTATTTATTAATAATAGTAAATGAATTTAAAAAAAGATTAGTAAAAAAAATATTTGATTTATTTTTAATTTTAAGTTTGACCTCGAATATCTCCTAAGTGGTAAAGATAATCAAAAATTTTCTAAAAAGTTTTTTTTGTAGAGAGTCAAATTTCCTATAAGAATATAATTTGGTTCAACAATCCGTTAAACCGGTTCAGAGTTGTAAAATTTCAAAATTAAAGAAAAAAAATTTCCGTGTTATTTAAATGGGAAATAGAAATCTGCGATGCGCGACCTCTTAATATTAATATTAAGGGCTCTGATTTTCACAGGCGTCTTTTTACTACGAAAATTTTTATGTGAGGATTTCGAAAAAAATAATTAAATATTTTTTTTGAATCAGCCTAATATGTACATATATATATTTTTTAGGGTCTCCAACGTTTCCGTCTACAAACTTCGTGGCAAACTTAATATACGCTGTTCAGGGTATAAATATTTACTATATGCAAGCCTATACATTCAAATATAATAAATAAAATTATATTTATACTTATACAATCTATTTGCATTTATACTTAGGGTAAAGGAGCGGTTGTGTGCAAAAATTGCATACTTATTGTCATTGGGCAATGTCAGCTTTCAACACAAACATTGTTTCAAATTTTTTATGCAAAATGTTTATTGTTGTTAGTTCTTATGTACCGATATGTTGTATTCAACTTGTGTTTATTTTCTTTGTCAAAGCACCTCTGCAAAGTTACTAGAAATCTGTCAGACGCTTTTATAGAGTAAAGCAATAACAACAAACAAGACCGCAAACTACCCCAAAGAGAAAATGCAACTGCATTTTTCCTGCGAATAAGTGAAACATTAAATAACGGAGATGCATTTCTTGTTTCTTGCTGTTTATTCTTCTACTTGTAAGATTTATAATTGGATAAAGTTGCAGCTGCAGTTTCACTTTTCTTCAACACCGGTCTTCATGCATTCCAACGGGTTAACGAGTATGTCTGCAGTAAGGAAACAACAAATGCAGTATAAAGGAATATAATTTGACAATTGTGCGCATTAAGTCATCTGAAAATGTTTTGTTGTTAATGCTTTGAGTCAATTCTATGAAAATAATCACTAAAATATACACACATTTGAAATATTAACAACATAACATTTAACCCAAATGTAATACACCTGATGATCAGTACTAGAAGGTCATTAAACTTACATACATACATACATATGTATATATTTATGTATTCGTACTATTTATTAGAAATAAAAAAATATATTTAATACCCGTTTCAGTAAAAACATTAACTTCGGCTACAACGAAACTATTATACTCTTCACAGTCAGTTCTTATAGTATAAAAGGATATAAAATCTTTGTCCTGTTAATTTGCATGGCAGCTACTAAATGATATAGTGGTCTGATTTCTTAAACAATAATCTATTTGTGAAAATATCATTTCAAATAAAATAGTTGTCCATACAAGAACTCCATTTTGATAGAAGTGTTTGTATGGCAGCTATATCCTAAAGTAGTACGATATCGGCGGTTTCGACAAATGTGCAGTTTCTTGGGGAGAAAAGGAGATGTGCAAAATATCACATCGATTTCTCAAAAACTCAGAGACAAGTTTGCGTTTATACAGACAGACAAGCATGGCTAAATCAACTCAGCTCGTCACTCTGAACAGTTATTTATATATTTTTTAGGGTTTCCGATATTTCCTTCTTATTTAATGATTAAGTTGACTGTTTAGCCATCTAACCTCTAGGGAAATGAATGGAAAAATGCACTTATTGCTACTAAATGTTGACAAATTCATCTACCATCATAGCCAAAATTTAAAGTTATAAACAAAAAATCCCTAATAGAAGTAGCAAGCTCACAAGCATTTTTAAAGAACCCTAAATGTTTAACAATATTATAAAGTTTAAAAGAATTTTATTTTTATTACATTTCAAAGTTAATTACAGTTATTTAACTACAACACCTAAACAGTTAGCTCTTACCAGATCCCTAACCCATTCTCTATTTCTCTGCTTAGCTCTGTCAACTAAGACTATAAGCCAGCTGACTACTTTGCCTGTGTCATCGTTTCTAAACCAATGCACTATACCACGCGAAGCAGTAAATTTAAGCTGGGAAGCGAATAATCAAATAGGTATGCATAGACGTTACGTAGGTACATATATAGGCACAACTTACCAGCTGGTACTGCTGGCACACTACGATGAGCAAAATGTTGCCGTCGTTACAGTATTGTTTACTCAACAGAGGAGACGTCGGCCTTTCGCAATCCTGCTACCCCTTTAAATCGTAGCCCGCCAAGATAGTTGTTGCTTCTCTAATCGGACGACAAATTTTTTCTTCACAAACTTTTCGGTGACGTTGTATGGAAAAAGCTAAGAAAACGATTATTCTTACTCGTTTTTTTTCTACACTTTTTCCTTACAAATTTGCACCTACTTCACTGCATATTTTCTAATTGATTTTGCTCTTTTATTGATTACGAATTTGCACTTTCTTTTTAACGTGAACTGAATTTCGCCCTTCTTTTACCTTGGATTTTCAGTTCTTTTTTCTTTTTGTTTCTATAATGAACTTTTCACAATTCTCTTTGCTGTGCGCCGACCAGACTTTTCACTTCACCGTATTTAATTATGAACTAATTATACTTAAATTTAATGTTGAACTCTGTTAATATTTTGTACACACAACTTCCGATAAGCTGTTTTTTATTAGTAATCTTATTGATTTGCTTATATTATCGCAATTTACTTAAATTGTAATTAACGTGCGGCCATATTTTGTGCGGCTGCGATGGAACTCGAAGAATAATAAATGCAGAATGCAGAAAACAAGAACAAGAAAAGCAGAGAACATGGTTGCATTCGGGGTGATTTTTAATTTGCTTGGCTTTCAGCTATTTGAATATGCGTGGACAGAGGGCGCAAAATGACAATTGATACATCAGATGGCGCTCCTAGTTATTTCGAAATAGTCGAAAACCTACATCAGAGCAGAGAACGTAAATGAATAGAGAAGAAGCAAATGTTAAATCAGAGAACGTAAATGAATTCATTTACGTTCTCTGATTGTATTTATTTTAAGCGAAGCAAATTAGTCAAATTTTTGTTTGTTATCCCTACAAGAACAGCGAAAGTCATCTGACCGGTCATATGACAGTCACAGCTGAAAAAATTTTGTCAGCGCGCAGAACAAAGTTTCTATCATTTTTTTAAAAGCGTTGTACAAAAACTGATGTAAACAAACGTATGTGTGTAAGTTTGCATCTCTCTTTAACGCATGGTTATTAGGAATTGATACACTATATATCTATACTGCTCACTCTCATGTCTTTTTCTGAGTCATTGCTGAGCATAAATCCACCATAGCTGAAAATTGTCAGTTATGACTGTAAATCTATCACAAGTGAAAAATTCTTTGACGCAATAGATAATATAATTTTTATTTCTTTAATAAATTCAAAACTTTTAATTAAAATTAGTTATAATAATATGCATAAATATAAAAAAAGAGTGTAACAAAAATATAATTATTTAATGAATTATGAAAAGAAATTTTCACTTAATTCCATGCTAGCTCCTCTCAAAAGCTCTGCTGTACGTATTTCTCCAGTTCATGAACATTTTGGAATTTAAAACTGCCTAAAAAACATGAAAATTTACTAAAAATATAATTTTATTTTAAGCTTAATAATAACTTACGTATATTATATTTGAAAACTCCTTCGTTATTTATTTATATATATATATATGTTATAGTAGTACGAACTGTAAAATTTGTTTAGAGATTGTAGCGCCGCGAAAGTTTTTCCATACAAGGTCTTGGTTTTGATCGATTAATTTCTATGGCCAACAAATGAGTTGCTTCTTGACGAGAAAAAGATGTGTGAAAAAATACAGATCGATATCTCAAAAAGTGAGAAACTAGTTACTACCGACAAATGGGCATGACTAAATCGACTCAGCTCGTCACTCTGATCATTTATGTACTATGTATTTTTTAAACTTAATATTTGTTCATAGCATAAAAATAAATTGAAAAAATCATATGCAATTTAAAATTGTATTATATGAGAAGTAGGCGTGGTTGTGGTTTTCGATTCCGCACATTTTCACAATCTGACATAGGATCGTCAGTGTTATGTTATATACCGAATTTGGTTGAAATTGGTCGAGTAGGATCAGAGATTTCATCTAAATGTGGGCGGTGCCATGCCCATCGCCCAATTTTGATCTTGGCGCATTTGGTTATTTATTTATATTGTAATCCCCTATATCAATCTCCAATCAGATCAAACAGTGATCCGATTACGCCCATCGACGAACTCGTCCTTACTTTTTTCGCCAAGGAATACGTGTACCAAGCTTCATAAAGATATCTTAAGTTTTACTCAAGTTATCGCTTGCACAGGCGGACGGACGCGTAGACGGACAGACAGACATCACTTGAAATTTTATTCGTATCGTCATCCTGATCATTTATATATATATAACCTTATATCTAACTCGATTATTTTTAGGTGATACAAACAACCGTTAGGTGAACAAAACAATTATACTCTGTAGCAACATGTTGCAAGACTATAAATATGTATATACACCATATATGCTTGTACTTTTATATAGGTATATCGACAGATATGATAGAGTAAAAAAAATTAAATTTTTTTGTATTTCTTTGCTTGAAACCATATTTAACATTGCCTGATCTTTTACAAAAACCACAAAACAAACTCTGTTCATTCTTACACCTACCCATACACATATATGTATGTACTCGTATGTGATCATAGCGCATTGTTCAACAAAAGCCAATTCATCATATGCCCACGAAAATTTGATTGATTCACATATTCACTCATTCACAGCTTCATTATTGCTTTAATTGTTAATCAATAGCGAATTACCGTTACACCACTCTTCTTTACACACAATCATTTCTTCCACTGAAAGTAATCAAAAGTTATAATTTCACAAGTTTCAAATCACATAACCTTTTTTCCAACGATTTACATACAAAACCAGATTTCGGTCGCAATCGAATGGGTTCAACATTACATACATATGTATCTGTGTATATGATAGGTTACATAATCCGACTGACATTAACCAACTCACCCAGCTACACCGGTATTACTACAACAAAAAAGTGCGTTTTTGCCGAAATGAGCGAGAAAGAAGCGAAATGTTAACATAAATATATTAATTTGCACATTTCGTTTACGTTCTCTCAATTCCCTCTGCACCAAAAAAACAAAAAAGAAAACAAAACTAAATTAGATATTACTGACAGTTAAGCGATAAAATGGGTGAGCAGCATATGCCAATAAAAATACGCAATAATAATAAAAAAAAGAAACACTTTCATAATATCGCTGATTAATAGCGACAATTAATTAATCAGCACGCCGGCCTGACATTGACGATGCTGGGAGTAACAGCGCCTCGAGCAGCTGTCAATGAACGGAGAGCAATAATAACAACAAATAGCAAAGAAAGTGACTGAAAATTGATGAGATTTATCACTTGCAAAAAAAGCATTGCTGTTTTCATTAAAAAAATAACTTCAATTCGGGATTGTAATTTTTTTGATTAATAATTTTTGGCTTAAATATCAAAATTTCAATTTTATAGCCCAAAATCGGAATTGAAAATTATAAAAAAAACATGTTATTTAAAAAATGGAATCACAAATAATAAAATAACTTTTTCAATTGGAATGTAATTGGATGAAAATGAAAGTTTCACATATTTCTAATTAAAACACTATAATAAGAAGAATTAAATATTTTGCATACACAAGAAAAAAAGTTAAACAATTTTGAAATTTCATTAAAAGTTCAAAAACACAGTTTTTTAAACTTTTAACTGAAAACTTGGGTTTAATTTTTTTTATTTTTCAATTCAAAGTATTTAGGATTAAAATTTTCTATTTTAATTTTTCATTTCATTTATGAAATTAAGCAGTAATTTTTTATTTTTTAATCCGGAGTTTGGAATTAGAAATTTAAAAATTATTTTATATTATGTTTTTTTGGAATTACAAAATAAAAAAATTTTAACTTAAATGTTAATTGATTTATCTTTTTATAATCTTGCAACATATTGTTATAGGGGCCGTCCATATATTACGTCATTCTAAATTAGCCGGGGGGGGGATGGTTGGTCTGCGGATGACGGTAAAGTCAAAGTCGGTAAAGACGGTGTCTTTAAGAAATGACGATAGGATGATTATAGGGGGGGGGGGCTAAAATCTGAAAAAATCGATGACGTAATTTATGGACGGCCCCATAGAGTATAATAGTTTTGTTAATGCATTATTTTCAATTCTACTTTAAATAGAAAAAAATATGGTGAATAATTTCTATTATACCCTTAACAGCAATATTAAGTTTGCCACAAAGTTTTTAATATCCAGAAGAAAACGTCAGTGATTTTATAAAATATAAAAATAAATGATCTACATGACGAGTTGAGCCAATTTAGTCATGTCCGTCTGTATAAACGCAAACTAGTCCCTCCTTTTTTGAGATATCGATCCAAAATTTTACAAACTTCTTTTTTTCCCTAAAAAGCTGCTCCTTTATCGGAACCGCCTATATCGGACCTCTATGGTAATTAGCTGTCATACAAATTAATCGATCAAAATGAAGTCCTTGTATGGAAAACTTTTTTATTTGACAAGATATCTTCAAAACTTTGGCATGGATTATTAACCAAAGAAACGCTACAATCTCGTAAGAATTTATAAAGATTGGACCACTATAACATATAGCTGCCATACCCACAATTTAAGCGTATATGGTTACATGCAACTTTGTTTAGACTCAGCTGAAATATTTCAACCAAATACCGGCGTCTTTTGGTCTACGTTACATTGATTTCAAATTCATATATTGATAATTCACGTTCCACCATTGACGAGTTTCGTTTCTTCTACCCATTATATAACAGACCATTTTTTATGCTCTCTCGTTCGTTTGAATATTTATCGTTGTTTACGTTTAATTGTAATTAATTTATTTTTTAACACACCAAAACTGGAATACACTGCCGTTAACCATAAATATTACCATACCGTTGAACATATTAAAACAAAATTGGAATGCATAAAGGAAATGGAAGGAAAGATAGTTGATTAAGGCATCTGTGTACACAAAATTTGACTGTGACATAATAAAAGAGTGGGGAAATCGAATTATTCAAAACACCAAAGTTCATTACATACATATGCAAATCCATTACATAACAGGCGTTGCAATGCATTTTTTTTATTGGTTGGCATGTTGATAGCGTTAATACACCAACACCAACATTAGCTTGGCTTAATTGATGAATATTAAGATGAAATATAATATTTAATATGAAAACTTAAAATTGTTTGAATTTGAATAAAATGAAATTTATATTTAAAAAAAATAGCGTAAGTGATATTTATAGTTAAGAAGAGAGCAATAATATGATATAAGGTCTAAGTAAAATGAAATTCAATATTTTTTAAATAGATGGATTTAGTAATGTGTATCTCGCGTTGCATAAATGCGAACGAGCTACGTTATATTATATTAGACATACGATTTTGTACTAAACACACAAAAAATTCTCAGACAGTTTTGTGATAGCCTAACGCAGTATTGTTGTATTGTTTAAGCACGCGTGAAACATGGGCATCAGCAAAGAGAAAATATGCCACATTTTACAGTTTTTCTTCGATAAAAGCGAAAATCACACCAGGCAGCGGAAATATTAGTTTGACGTTTTCATTCCGTTAATTTGTAAACAAAGATGCACTATGCTCTAGAAGACCAATTGTCGAAAATATCGATAAAGTTATGGAAATCT